TACGGCTGATCCATAACTGGACACGTTCCTCTGCAATGTCATCTTCCACACCGTGCAACTTAGCTCTTCCCCAGAAGTACATCAGCCATGCCTGCATTTTGTAATTGTAGGAATCAAGACGATATCTTGATTTAAAACTGGTAAGTAAAGGTTCCACGTTGTTTGGACTCATAAGTAACGTCATCCAGTACATAGATCCAGACACGTCCCAACTGATGTTTCGATGTGGTTACTTTTTGTCGGATATTATCTTTCTATGTGATGATGATATACAACATTGATAATGTGTGGTCACCTCAAAATCAAGGCACTCGATGAAGGATTTAGGCTTTTAGCTGGAAAGTGTATATCATGATGAGTGCAAGTGTTAAAGTACCTGCTTAAAGGCAACATCTTCTTGTTCCGCTTCACCCAGTTCTGCATTTAAAACAACAAGACAACATTGTAAAAGATTTCATGATATGGTTGATTACGTCTACATAAGATTATTTTATGTGTAGGGCAGAGGTAAAATTTGAAACCACAGAAGATCCTTTCAGGTAGGGGACATCGACGCAACTATTTACTCTACTAAATCAACAACTCATGCACAATGTCAAAGACAGAGCGGATGTGGCTGGACTCTTTTTTTTTTTTGGTTAAAGATGTGGCTATACTTATTGCAGCCCTTCCACAACACTCAAGGTGTTCAGGGTTCGACCCCAAGAACCTCTACAAAAGGGTGGAAAACAAAGAGAACAAAAAGACCTTTATCTTAGGATTAGAGAGACTTTTCCCTTACCATATGCATCGATAAATCTGGATTCTCCATGACCTTTGGAGTCTGTAAGATAAAGAGAAAACAAAAGTTCAAAATTTTGCTTTTAGTTATGCCTTCTTATTAAGAGCTTAAGTATCTAAACAAAAAACAGATTACTCATCCATCGTTTAAACTTTAAAGAATAGAAGCGACAAAAAAATATATTTGTCATTGTGCATTATCTGGTGTGCTCGCAAATACATTACATACCAGAAACAGTTTGACGAACCAAACTCAGCTTTCTCTGCTGGGCGAATACAAGCACAACAGCATCCTCCACCTGAATTTCAAAAGAGAGAAGAAGATTTAAAAACGTAGTCCTTGGAGATATCTGCTAGGTGACAACACTTTATAGGTAACTCAGAAAGAATTATGGATACCTTTAATGATGCTAGCTCTCTTAAACCCATCTCAACTGAAAGCATACTTTCAATATTTCCTTCTCCAGTTAGATCACTCAAATCTCTAGCGGCCTTACTCCGATCATTCCCACCTGCATTATTTCATATGCTGATAAATAAAAAAATTTACAACAACAGCGAGGAAGCAAATTGTTTAACATTTTAAACTATAGGAGACAATAGACGAGCCTTTATCCCAGGATAACTCCTTCGCCTTCTGTGCTGCAGAGGTGACGAGCTCAAATGGAAGAGGAGCCAACGCTGACCAGTGCTCATGCCTGGATGGTGCAATATCCGCACAAATGCCTACAGAAGCACACCATAGGAAAAGCAAATATCCGTAAATTTGATGTATAACTACCACGAGTATATGCCATGTTGAAGGAAAATAAAAAGTGTATCATGATAATATTTTCTTTGGTTCAGAATATAAACTCTTTTTCTTAAGAATGGATGAATCACCTACCATGTTGCACAGCCAAGCCCCAATACCGGGCAAGCCAGCATCTCTTCAGAACTACTTCTTCCTAGATAATTCAATCATTCATAAACTCAGAACCTTATAAATTATTGGTAGATTACGAGACCAAAGATTTATTGACAAACCATTTCGTCCTGTGTTAAAATCATCCTCTGAGTCATTGTGCGAAGAGACTTTGCTTCAGACTCTGCTTCTTGAAGCCGTTCTGCAGCAGTAGTAGCCTCGTCTTTCAAGTTCTGAACATAGCAGAGAAAAATAAGACATGGTTTCATCATGCAAATAAAAGTGGTACATCTCATGGAAAACAGTACATCAGTGAACCTTACCTCAAGTTCCGAACGTAGGGAAACAATTTCATCATCCTTTCCGCTCTTTTTCTGTTTAGCAGCATTTAGAGCAGCCTGTAAGAGGTACAAATTTTCTGCACAGCTTAAATTGTATGTTTTACATAATGGTGGAGAAAGAAACTCGACTAAAAGAAGACTACATCTGAGCAGCAAAATGGATTGAGGGTACTAACCTCTCTTTGACGCAACGCTGCTTCTTTCCTATAGAAAGACAAATTCAACATGAGCGATTAAAACTATCACCTTATTTTCTGGAAAAGAGAACAACAAAAGAGAAGCTAAAGAAGGCACAGGCTCCCACCTGCTTAACAATTTCGCCTCCAGGGACACTCCTTCTCCAAGAGAGGCAACCTTTTGGAACCAAAAATAAAAACAAATGAAACCTTGAACAGATGCCAATAATATACAAGAATAATTCTGCATGTGATAGACAGAATGGTTCATATTTACATTTTCTCCTTAAAACAAATCTAAGGATGCAGAAAAAAAAACGAGGTGGGAGGCTGCTTCGAAAAGATAACAACAAGATATACAAAGAGATTTAAACAAGTGGAGTAATTTTTTCCAGTCCGACTTTCAAGACGCAATATAAGTGAAAGATGGACTACTTAAGACAACTAGTTCACATACCTGTTTCTCGAGCTCCTTAGCCCTAGCTTCTGCTTCCACCCTTTTTTCTTCCGCACGACGAAGCTGTAATCAAGAATAGTTGTTATGCACAACAGAAGTAAACAGCTTTATTATACAATATAAAATTCAATCGCAGAGATCAAACCTTCTCCAGTACATTCTCATTCTCCTCTTGTAGCATATCCAGCTGCATTAAGAAATGAATCAGCCTGAAGTCAACTCTTCTGACTCATACACAAACTCTGATTTGACTATAATTTCCAAGATGTAACTAAATTGACCAGATACCGCAAAGGTTCAAAAGAAACAATCACATACTTCATCACGGAGAGCTGAAGCTTCCCGCTGATCACCCTTTTCTTTTGAATTTACTGATGGTACATCAGCAAAAAACCTAAAAACATCAAATATCCAAACATCAGACGCAAGCAGCACAACCAAAACCAGCGGGGAACACCATCTATTTGAGAAAAGAACCCATTCATTTCCCATTTCTCATGACTTTATAGCAAGCTCTATTATTAGGCTTTGAGGACAAATAATTTAGTCAATGAAAAAACATATTATACACCAACTCCAAAGACTAACCACACTGGTTTTGACATATTCCACTAAGCCACACGTTCAATCGACTACCAATATTTGAGAACTATAATAAGAAGCACAATCTTAAGAACTTCAAAATGAGAAAGCAAAAATGTTTTCACCTTTTATCTCTGCTCCTAGTTGGAGGATCAAGTGGAGGAATAGAAACCGGAGTTTTCACCGACACCCTACTAGGCGGCATTAGATTAGGAATCGGAGTCGGAATCGTGGATCTAGCAGACATTGACGGCCTTCCGGCCGAAGCAGAACGCACTGAAGGCACTTGCTCGGCGAAGTTCCTGCCTAACTAATCAAAGCACAAAAAAAGAGAGAGACTAATTAGCCCTAAAGAACCAAATTCACCACAGCTACAATCAAATCAAGCTGATCTGAACTAATTCTATAAAGCTAGAAGACGGAATTCACCGCAGGAGACGGCGATCTAGTTCGGGGAGCAAAAGAAACAGCCGGCAAATTAATGTTTCCGTTGCTGCTATTACTTCCAGTAGAGGAAAGAGAAGAAGGTGCATGACGAGCAGGTTTCAAAGACGGAGATGCGAATCTGAGACTTAGATCTTCATCTTCATCTTCATCATCTTCGTCTCCGTTGTCTTTGTTCTGCAAGGCCATAACCTTAGCCAATCGTTGTGCCGCCGCTTTAGCAGCTACGTTCTGAGTCCGTTTGACAGTGGAGAAACCTCCGATACCACCGAGTTGCTTCCGGTGAGCAGGAGACATCGCCGGCGATGTGGTTTCCGTACTGTTCGATGATTCGCTCCACTGGCGACCATACACTGGGCTACCCGCCCTCCTCCGATCCATCAGAGTGTTCGTGAAGTTACTAATTAGCTGGATGCAATCGCTGTATTTAAGCGAGCAAAAAGAAGATGAACCAGAGAAAATGGATTTTTCTCGGGGAAAAGCTAAATTTTCTCGCGAAAACGGAAGGGAAAAAAAACGTTGGGTGAGATTTGGAGAAAAGTGTTGAAATAATAGTGACGTCAAAACGACAGCGTTTGATACGGAGAAGAGAAAAACACATGCGAGCTTTCAAAGGCAAGTGAGAGTCGATGGTAAGATTATAGTTTTTTTTTTTTTTCCTGATAATAATAAGATTGTAGTTAACAAAATCTTTAATCCTTTCCACTTAATCTGCGTACCATTTAAATACAAAAATATACAACTGTATGCTGTATCTAAATCATACTATATGTGATATTTTAATACAGTTTATAAAGAGATTTTTTTCTCTTCTTTTTTGGTGAGTAGATTTTTTTCTCTTCTAAGAGAAACTTAATATAGTTTCTTGGTGTTATTTACACATATTAATCAAATTACATGAATATTATTCGGTGTGGACAGTGTCATTATCCAGGTTACTTATCCGTCCAAGGGTGAAATTTTTACAAAATCAATAATTCAAAGCACATGGGTTGATGATTCGGTATCAAAGACTTAAACATATGTGGAGAATTAATTATTGAAAACCCTCAATCCCTCTTGACAAGAAGAATCCACAAAGGTAATTAACAGATGAAGCTAGTCTTCTTGAAGCTGGCAACAAATGAAGTTCTTGCCATGCTTGGATTAAGTTTTCTCAAAGGTAATTAACAAAGTGCTCACTCAAAAGTTCGAAATGGGTAATGGAATAATGTTAGTGTTATTAATTTATTAGTATATATATGTTTCTTTTCAGTGATTTATTTGGTATGCAAATCCTCGTTGACACGTAAAGAGTCGTGACAAATCAATATTTGACTGTTTTTGTCGCCGTCATCAGTCAATGGTAAAAGATGCAAATAGTGAGGGGGGTAAATATGACATTTCAAAAACTCAGCACCTATAAAAACGTCAAATTCGATTCCACCAAAAGACAAACCTGAGATTTTTTTTCTTCCAAAGAGAAAAGTCAAAAACCAACACAAGGATTTGAATTTTCTCTTCTTCTCCTTGGAAATGTCTGACTCAAGCAGATCGCTGATCCCGAGTTTCCTCTACTCGTCCGATCATCATCGTCTGTTTCAGTCGCCGGAGCCGTCAACGACCATGACTCATGTTAAATCACGGCCGTTGATTCCTCCGACTTCCTCATCTAATGGTACCAGTTTCGCCATCGCGACGCCGAACGAAAAAGTGGAAATGTACTCGCCAGCATACTTCGCGGCGTGTACGGTCGCCGGGATGTTGTGCTGCGGTATCACACACACGGCGATTACGCCTCTCGATGTCATCAAATGCAACATGCAGGTGAAGTTCCAAACCAACTACACTATTTGTAGTTAACATTTTTAAAGCTTCTTCGAAAGCTACGTATAATATTTGATGAGAGAAATTAACTTGGAATTTAGAATTTATTAGCGGAATAAAAAAACAGCCAATAACAATTTATTTGTTTGTTTGTTTGTTTACTTTGGAATAGTTTGGATTTGAATGGTAAATAGTTTAATGGAATAGAGATTAATTGATGATATAAATGAATAATTTTGTTCCATTCATTCTTGAAATAGTGGAATATTATTTGTTCTGTGGTTTACTAATCTGAATTTATATACTTTTGTCAAATGAATTATTCCATTTAGTAAAAGTTTTGGTAATTCCACTTTGTTGTTATACTTTCCACCTGCTGTCAACTTTTGAGTTTCTTGTTTTACACGGCATCGACTCTTCAACGCTGTCCAAGACTTTTCAATCTAATGCATGATCTTTGATGTAACACTCAGAGAGAATCTGAGTTTGATTTGATAAAAAAAAAAAAAAGACCCTCAGTTCTCTTGTTATTGCAGATTGATCCACTCAAGTACAAGAACATAACTTCTGCTTTCAAGACAACAATCAAAGAACAAGGGCTCAAGGGTTTCACCAGAGGCTGGTCACCAACACTTCTCGGGTACAGTGCCCAGGGAGCTTTCAAATACGGTCTCTATGAATATTCCAAGAAATACTACTCAGACATCGTTGGACCAGAATACGCAGCCAAATACAAGACCTTGATTTACCTTGCTGGCTCGGCCTCTGCAGAAATCGTCGCTGATGTGGCTCTTTGTCCAATGGAAGCTGTCAAAGTCAGGGTCCAGACTCAGCCTGGTTTCGCCCGCGGTTTATCTGATGGTTTACCAAAGATCATCAAATCCGAAGGCTTCCGCGGGCTATACAAAGGCCTTGTTCCTCTCTGGGGACGCCAGATTCCATGTAAGTCTCTAGACTCAAGAAAATGTAGAGTCATTAATTTGAGATGATGATATCAGTAAAAGAAAATTTGAGGTTTTGCAGATACGATGATGAAATTTGCTACTTTTGAAAACACTGTGGAGCTCATATACAAAAAAGTGATGCCTACCCCAAAAGAAGAGTGCTCAAAGCCAGTTCAGCTCGGAGTAAGCTTTGCAGGTGGTTACATTGCTGGAATTTTCTGTGCCGTCATCTCACATCCTGCAGATAACTTAGTCTCTTTCCTCAATAACTCTAAAGGAGCAACCGTTGCTGATGTAAGTAAAAAACTCCATACAAATCTTTACTCTTCACCAGAACATCAAACTTGTGGACACACACAGTGACAGAATTGATTCTTTCATGTGCTACAGGCGGTAAAGAGGCTAGGATTATGGGGTATGTTTACCCGCGGCCTTCCTCTTCGCATTTTCATGATAGGAACACTCACTGGAGCGCAATGGGTTATCTATGATGCTGTCAAAGTTTTAGCTGGATTGTAAGTTCTCATCACCTGCACTTAAAAGATATTCTCATCAATACTCAAATCATTTTAGAACCAACATATGAAAGACACTCATCACTTATACCTATAATTTTTTCTTAGGCCAACCACTGGTGGTGTTTCTCCAGCTACAACGCTTGCTTCATCTGTAAGTGCATAAAATTACAAGTACATTCCTCGCATTGCCGTCACATAAGAGCAATAAAAGGGAAACAAAACTCCCAATTATTATTCTTGTTATGTTTCTATTGTGTAGTATAGTATAAAAATGGTGTTCACTACATACATCTAGCTATTATGTTTCTGCTTATGGAAGTCAGTTTCAACAGAACCAATCCAAGAGGGACTACAACTCTTGAGATCGACAATGGAAAGATTTGTGTAACTTTTCAGCATTCCATATTTTATACATTTATGTTTTCTTATAAAAATTTTGAAAATGACAAAAAAGGTAAATAATTTACTAATGCCTATGCCCATGCCCTGATTAATTGATCTAGGTGCTAGGCTTCTACTGGACGCCTAACGATTTATTGAACATTTTCTGAAAACCGAAGTAACAAAAAAAGTTGCATTGTATCACAAGCAAAAAACACCAAAGCGCTTCATCTTCTTCTATCAATTGTCGTCAGAGAAGGTAGTCTTCTTACCGCAAGATACGCGGAAGATTTCCTTCTTATGAACACCAAAGAGCTTCATTTTCTTATTCGGTTTGGTCTCCAAATCATCTTCTTCTATCAGAAGGCTTTCTCGTCCAAGGTAGTCTTCATACCTTGAATAACAAAAACCCTTGTGATCTCTCCATGTATACCAAAAACTTCAACCAATGTGCTCTTGATAACAAAACTCAAAAGGCAAATAGTTAAAAAACTTACCAAAGCTTCTCTGCAAGGGTGTACCTAATTAGCAAAAATAATAGCATTAAACTTGTACAATGACACCAAAACTCTAACAATAAGTTAGAGAAACAAATCTCCATAACATGGAAAATCAATTTACTTGGGTCGGAGAGGGTATGGAGCTATCTCAGCCACGTCAAGAACAATACAAAGAAAGTGCAATCTTACTCCATTCTTTTTTTCCAGCGCCTACAGTACAAAGATTTGATCAGCAATGGTGCTTTCAAATAACTACTTGTAAATTTGACATCATAAGTATACACTACTTTTCATCATTAAACTAGTCTCACCTTTTGTGCTTCGTTAGCAGAAGCAAACTCAACAAAGCCACAGCCCACACGCTCATTCATGTGGTTTACAATAAGTCGAACACTAAAAACTTCTGCAACATCTTTGAAGAAATTGATGCTGTAAAAATGGAGGATAAAATATCAGTCTGAAAAACTTGCTCCAAGAACGAAAGAGGAAATTAAAGGTGCTACTTACATATGTGATATTTTAGTTTGGGGAGAGAGATTGGCAATAAAGAGCGTCTTTTTTCTTAAAGTAACTTCCTGAATATAACAGCAAGTGTGTTAGCACCACTCTAAGGAGAAAATGACTTAAATTGTATGTCAACAAAAAAGTAGATTCATCCCCAGAATAAGTTCATCTTTCGACTTTCTCACAACAGTTCTGTCATTACACGCTTAAGCGTTTCCTCTAAGCATGACATATATCAAGATAATAACGAGAGGTACCTCAACAAAATTGGAAGTTTCATCAAGTCCTTCCACTGCCTCATCTTCTTCTATCAGAAGGCTTTCTCGTCGAAGGTAGTCGTCGTACCAAACCTTGTGATCTATGCAATACCTAATTAACAAAAATAATATCATTAGTCTTCCGTAATGCCATCAAAAATCTGGCAATAAGTTACAACCAGTGTTACAGAAGCAAATCTCCATAACATGGAAAATCAATTTACTTGGGTTGTTGAGAAGAGTATGGAGGATCTGCCTTAGCCACATCAAGATAGATATCGCGTTTGTGCAAATATTCACCATTCTTTTCCAGAGCCTAGTATAAAAGATTTAATCAGCAATCGTACTTTAAAATAACTACTTTTCAAATGACTACTTAAATACATTTCATCATTACTAAACTACTCTCACCTTCTCTGCTTCGTTAGCAGAAGCAAACTCAACAAAGCCATAGCCAAGTTGCTTGCCCTTGCAGTTTACACCAAGTCGAACAAGAACAACTTTTGCAACATCTTTGAAGAAATTGATGCTGTAAAAATGGAGGGTAAAATATTGGTCATGAAAAACTTGCTCCAAGATCTAAAGAGGAAACTAAAGGCGCTACTTACATATCTGATATTTTAGTTTTGTGAGAGAAACCGGAAACACAGAGCATCTTTTTTCTTACCGCAACTGCCTGAATTTAACAGCCAAGTGTGTTAGCACGACTCTAAGGAGAAAAGAACTTAAACTGCATAACAACAAAAAGTAGCCTCATCTAAAGATTTCTCCCCATCATAAGTCAGTCATCTTTCGACTTGTGGCAATAGTTCTGTTATTAAACGCTAAGTGTTTATTCTGAGCCTGACATATTTTGAAGATAATTAGAACACATACCTCAACGAAATTGTGAGTTTCATCAAGTGCTTCTAGTGTATCATCTTCTTCTATCAGACGGCTTTCTCGTAGAAGGTAGTCTTCGTACCTGGAATATCAAAAGCCCTTGTGATCTCTCGAAGTACACCAAAAACTTCACCCAATGTGCTCTTGATAACATCCTCAAGAGCAAATAGTTAAATCCATTACCAAAGCTTCTCTACAAGATTGTATCTAATTAACCAAAATAATAGCGTTAGTCTACTGTAATGGCATCAAAACTCAAGCAGTAAGTTACATAAACAAATCACAATAACATGGAAAGTCAATTTACTTGGGTCGTGGAGTGTATGGAACTGTCTTAGCCACATCAAGAAAAATCTTATGATCGTGCAAATATTCACCATTCTTATTTTCCAGCGCCTACAGTATTTAAGATTTAATCAGCAAACGAACTTTCAAATAACTACTTGTATAATTTTCAGCACAAGTAGACACTACTTTTCAAATTACTTTTTCATCATTACTACAAAACTACTCTCACCTCCTTTGCTTCGTAAGCAGAAGCAAACTCAACAAAGCCATAGCCCACATGCTTACCCTCAGGGTTTACAACAAGTCGAACTCCAACAACTTCTGTAACATCTTCGAAGAAATTGATGCTGCAGAAATGGACGATAAAATATCAATTATGAAAAACTTGCTCCGAGAACTAAAGTGGAAATTTAAGGTGCTACTTACATATGTAACATCTTAGTTTGGGGAGAGAGATTGGCAACAAAGAGCGTCTTTTTTCTTACTGGAACTATCTGGATTTAACAGCCAAGTGTGTTAGCACGACTCTAAAGAGAGAAGGACATAAATTGCATAACAACAAAAAGTAGACTCATCTAAAGATTCATCCCCAGAAAAAGTCATCTTTCGACATTGTGATAACAGTTGTGTTACTAAAAGCTAAGCGTTTCTTCTGAGCCTCATATATTTTAAAGATAATAAGAAGAGGTACCTCAACAAAATCGGGAGATGTCTCCTCTTCTTCTATCGGAAGGCTTTCTTGTCGAAGGTAGTCTTCGTACCTGGAATATCAAAACGCCTTGTCATCTCTCCGTGTATACCAAAAACTTCACCCAATGTGTTCTTGATAACAAACTTCACATGCAAATAGTTAAATCCCTTACCAAACCTTGTGGTCTATGCAATACCTAATTCACAAAAATAATAGAGTTAGTCTTCTGTAATGCCATAAAAACTCTAGCAATAAGTTAGTGTTAGAGAAACAAATCTCTCTAACAAGGAAAATTAATTTACTTGGTTCGTGGAGCCTTTGTCACAGCCATGCTAAGAGTAAGCTTATTACCACACAAATATTCACCATTCTTCTTATCCAGCGCCTACAGTATTAAAAGATTGAATTAGCAAAGGCACTTTCAAATAACTAGCTGTAAAACTTTGCATCATAAGTATATGGTACTTTTCAAATGACTAGTAAAATACATTTCATGATTAAACTATAAACTAGTCTCACCTTCTTTGCTTCGTTGGCAGAAGCAAACTCAACAAAGCCACTGGACAAACGCTTACCCTCGCGGTTTAAATCAAGTCGAACACTAACAACTTGTCCAACATCTTTGAAGAAATTGATGCTGTAAAAAATGGAGGATAAAATATTAGTCATGAAAAACTGGCTGCAAGAACGAAAGAGGAAACTAAAGGTGCTACTTACATATTTGATATGTTAGTATGGCAAGAGACCTGGGAAACAGAGAGCGTCTTTTTTCTTGAGGGAACTGCCTGAATTTAACAGCCAAGTGTGTAAGCACAACTCAAAGGAGAAAAAAGATTTTAACAATAAAGAGTAGCCTCATATAAAGATTCATCCTCAGAACATAGGTCATCTTTGTGGCAACAGTTGTGTTACATGAGTAGCCATTTTGGAGACAATAAGAACGAGATGCTTAATTGAACATAAACTTGTATAATATATGCAACAAACAGTGCAATTATTTTAGATATCATACCTTCAGTGGAGCCTGATCAGACTTTGTCTTCAACAACTCGACCTTTCCTTTGATCTCAGCAAATCCTTTCGTTGTCTCCTGTTACATAAGTGTAGCCATTAGAACAGAGTGTAATTCTCAAAAAACTAGAGGAATTTGACCATCTTAGGTTACCTCGGATTTTTCCTTATGTTTCTTCAGAATAGGGTTGGTCTCCAAATCATCTTCTGGCTCTCGCTTACCTAAAAGAAGAGCAGCAAAAAACAAAACAAAAACAAGCTCTTCAGCTAGAGTAGCCTAGACATGTGTTTTTACAATACATTAGATTAGAAAGAGCCAGCCAAAACAAACCCAATAAATTAACTTCGCCGGAACTGGCCATGGAGAAGATGAAAACAGTGGCGGTTTATTTGCCGGGAAGAGTTCGTTGAGAGCAGCAAGATAAGAAGTTATAAATATCCTCGTTAAGGGTTTTCGCACTTCTTTGTGGGCCTTAATGGGCTACTAAGCTTCGGCCCAATTTTATTATTCTGTTTAATCGTCCGTTGACTTTTTTTTTTTTTTTTTTTGGTGATCGTCCGTTGACTTTTTTAATACAACCAAAATGGCAAAATCAATCTTCATGACCCCATAATTCCAGATTACCCAATCAACAAGAAAACAATGTTTTCAATCCCTGCCACAAGTCATTCTTTTGATCGCAAGTAACAACATACTCTGAATTCTTCATCCATTGCCAATGAAAATCACTGCTCTCTTGTCTAACTTCATATCCTCAAAACACGCAATCATGTGCAATTACTTAGCTTCTAGTTGAATTAGTTACACTACATATCTGGGGGAGAGAGGTCATCACCCTATTCTGATCCAAAAGTTTTGCAGAAAAATACCATACATGTATCCTCTTTAATGCGTGAGGACTTGTCCTTGGCCAATGGAGAGTTGAGCAGCGGAAGAAGCAACAAGAGCATTTCCTGAATATCACCAATTCTGAAGAAGCTGAATGCCAAACAGAACATAGCGTTTCTGACAGCAGGCAAGACAAATACTCATCAATTAAGCCGATAAGTCTAAAAAGAATGTTTTGACTTGCACAAGGATTTGAAAGAGAGATAAAGTGACACATACATTGTTCTGAACATAGACAGGATATTTGAACTCCCATGAAAGTGTTAGTTCAGATTCCAGATATGGACCCAAAATGTTTTCAGCTTTCAACCGCTAAAGTTCAAGCAATAAAAGTGTATCTCCCAAACACAAAGTAAAGTTAAGCTGACAGATACTCTCACTCAATTAAATGTTGGAGACCACTGAGTATCAATCGTAGGCCAGAACCCATCAGCAAGGATGATACTCAGAACTGAAGGTTGCCAAGCTTTTAAAGTTTTAGCTGGATTGTAAGTTTTCATCACCTGCACTGAAAGATAGTCTCATCAACACTCAAATCATTTTAGAACCAACATTATGAAAGACACTCATCAATTACCTATAATTTTCTTATTTTCTTAGGCCAACAACTGGTGGTGCTTCTCCAGCTCCTGCGCTTGCTCCATCTGTAAGCGCATAAAATTACATGGACATTCTTCACAAAGTTGTCACATTAAAGAAACAGAAGGGAAAAAAACTCCCAACTATCATTGTTATTTTGTTTCTATCTTGTAACAGTACAAAACTGGTGTTCACTACATATATGTTCTACATAAAGCAAAAGGATATCTAGCTATTATGTTCTACATATGAAAGGTATCAAACATATCCCTTTGCTTTCTACCGAATCTCAAGTTTAAACCCAACCAATCCAAGAGGGACTACAACTCTTGAGATGGGTTTAACGGAAAGACTGTGTCGAAAACAACCCTAGCAAATACGTGTCTAACTTCTGGAAGGTTTCCTGAAGATAATGAGGTATAATCAATTTTACTGTCTTGCTTAGGCACAAATCCCTTCTGCCCATTTTCTTTCACACACTCGAATATACGTCTTGCATCTAGATACAATTGCAACGGTATGAAAACCTGTAAAAAAGTAAAGGATAGAAGAGAGTTAGGACAACAGCTAAACCGAGGAAATCTTTGTTTGTAATTTTCAACCAAAAGATATATCAAGCTCCATAACCTATAGTCTAGGCGTTCTCCGGAGAATCTGCATTTGCATTTCCATCACTGAAATATTGTTATATGAAGCTAAGAAAAATAGGAGCGCTTACCATATCAGAATATGGGGCCTGAGGGTACGCTGCCATAGCCTTAGAAATAAACCTCCCATCAGTCATCTGTCCCAAGGCTTCTTTGATAGATGAATCAAAATCCATAACTTCATCCAACAAGGTTTGGGAGTCCAGTTCCTCTGGCTCCAGTAGCTCAAAGAAGCTTCTATTATGTGGCTTTGTGACTTTCCTGGTGATTTTTACAGCTTCTAGAACATCTCCACCATTGTGGACAGCAAGGCTAAACGCGGCTACCACTGAAGGATATCGAGGTTGATCAGCAAGTGCTTTGTGAAGAGCCAAGATTGTTAGCCTACAAATTTCCAACACAATATTGTTGCGTATTACAATATTATACACTGTATATGGTAAGGACTGTGTTTACAGGAACTTAATAGATGAGGACCGTACCACAAGCTGCTGTGGCAAGGTCTATCAGGAGCCAACAATTTATCCAAATTTCCAAAGAGAGACTGCATGACGAAATGTTAACTATAAGTTCTTTACTCGATAATTTAAGCAATAGACACTTCTCTGTGACGAATATTGCAAAATGCGCATCTGCATATTACCAGAAGCAAGTTACTCCTCTTGTCGCGTCTCTTGAACCCAGTGTGAACGAGATATGCTGCCTGTGAATATTAAAGTTAGATAGACGCAAAGATACATTTTTAAGACACAACAAGAGATGAGTGGAATCACTCACCTGAATTGGTAAAAGAATTTCTAGTATCCCAAATTTCCACAACAATCGTAAAGAAGCTTCTGCTGATCCATACGCTAACATGTAATTCATTTCCATCAAGATTCTTCCCTACATGTATAACGCAGAATCATTCATAAACATGCTGTTGTAAAAATAATGTGGAGAAAAATATTTCTTTGTGGAGTGAAGCAGTACCCTGTGGAGTCTTTGTACTAAGAAGGAAAGGTTCTTTAAGAAATGAGCTGTTTCCTTGGAGATTGTAAAACCTAAACGCGCAGCAATTCTTGTCCCACGAAGAATCCTGGCTGGATATGTTATATTCGGTAAGCCCTGATAAGCTTCTATTATCTGGACTCTTAATGGTATTCATACAAGAATTTGTTTTTCGAGACTCTGAACTCTGAACGATGTTTGTAAAAGAAACCGAGGTGGACATGTTACATAGATGATTATTTTCCCAGAAAACTCACCACAGTCCTCTTGAAAAGATGTGCCAGCGTGAAACACTGTCCGTATCTGTGAGCAAAGAACCACAATGAGAAGAAAGGTATTTGTAAATATTTACCTGAGGGAAAAAGGTATAACAGAATATGTTCACACCTTAGCTTTTTTAATGTCTTCTATTCCCCCAAGATAGTCATATACAACTTCGGCATATGGATCAAACATCAACCTGAGATTTGAAGAAAAACAACATAAACATGTAAAGAAAAGTAATGAAAGAAACTATGAGATCTCCAAAAAAGAGTGTATGATATCATCAAGGGATTAATAAGATACCCATTAATTGTGAAATCACGCTGCAAGCAGTTATTCAAACGGGTGTTGTCCTCGTCATAGGAGCCATTGGATTTTCCAGAACCCGTTCTCATGTTTCTTGGAGAATTTTGTGCAGAGGTGCTAAAACTCGAAACCTACTCAACAAGAATGCAAAGAAATTTTAAGAGAGAGCTAACAAATTGTTCTGATTTGCATTTGCTATGCTTATATTGGTAATATAAAAGAAAATCATTGACAAGAAAAAAAACAAACCTCTATCATCTCATTCCCAACGTGCACATGACATATAGGAAACCTTTTTCCAACAATTTCACATCTTGAGAAAGTCCGAACAACCTAAAGACATTTCAAACAAGAACAAAAATCCATTTCGAAATCAGATAAAGACGATGTTCAAGAGATGACTTTTAGATTGGAAACCAACCTCTCTAAGTTCCGCAGAAGTGAGTATATCGAAGTCTTTTGGCGTCCGCTTCAAAATAAGATCCCGTACACAGCCTCCCACAAGATAAACATCATATCCTACAGGTCATGGGCAACTGTCAAAGCCAGCAAGAGATAAAGGTAAAAGAAAAGTTTGAGATTTCATCGTTAGATTCTATCAAATGATCAAAAAGAATCAACCTTTACTCTTAAGGCCATTTAGCACTAGTCGTGTGGGCTTTGAAATCATAGAACTAGTTATCCCAAGGTCTTTTGAATTCAATTTCTTCCACTCTGGTGCTTTACCTTTCAACAAATTACACAAAATTACCAAAAACATCAAATCAAGCCAAAAGATAAGCAAATAGCAGTATACTATAAGTGAATGTTTTCTACAAATGTCTGACATAATAACTGAAATTGGAGAATTGAGTCCGAGTCTACTACCATCACTCAGTAAAATATAGATAACATGGGGATAAAAAGAAGCACAATTTTCAATTCAAATCCATCAAATTCGTTATAAGTAACTTACTCGTCCTATCAGAACCCTTCTCAAGATGATCACTGTCCTTGTCATCCACAGTCTCAATTGCAGCAGCAACAGTGTTGAACTGAACCTGTAAGCGAAACAACAAAATAAAGAAAAAAGAACAAGACTTCAAGTATATGAAAACGAATTACATTGAATTATACAAAGTGTATATATAACAAAGAGTTACCTTGGAGAAACAGTAAAACAGGGGAAGAACAGGAAAATGGGATCTGCAAGAGAAGAAACCCAGACTTAAAACCGCCATTGAAATAAAAAAGATTCAACATTTCATCATGGGCTTTATTTAAGCTTTATCAATCTGCTTTGATGGAATTTGAAGTAGCAGAGATTTTTACAGAAATGTTTAGGGTTTTTTTGAAGATGAATGAAGATGAACGACGAAGGGGTTTATAGCCACGTGGCCAGTTCTCATTTGATATAACGTTCCGTCAAATCGACGCCGTTTTCATGTTACTCACTAGAACATCTTGTCGTTCACTGGCTTGTCTTAAGTTATCTACGCAGCGTTTTATAAGTGAAAAAACTGTTTGCCGTCTAATCTTCAGAGTGAGGACTACACGCTGTTCTCAGACTCACTCGCGTAGATCGGAACTTATTAGTTACTTAGAAAGATCGAGAAATTCACAATCGTCTCTTTGAAATCTCGAAGCTGAAGTTTCTTACTGGGGAATCGATGAAGCTCTTGCATTTGATATTCTTATTAGCTCTAACAACTGGAATCTCTGCTGTTCTAATCTACATTATCGGCGTCTCTAATCTATGTAAGCACACTCCATCGTTGTCTAAGTGTAGATTCTTGTAGTGTTGTATTTCGTGATTTTTCTGAAG